TTTAGTACCTTACCGGCTTGCTTTGTTTGTATGACCGCCATTGTGGAAAACGACTCCTGAAGTTGGACCAGCTAGAAGAGCGAGGTTCGAGAGAACGCTGGGACCCTTTTTCCACGTGGATCAGCGCTTTTTTCCGCCCCTATGTTGTTGCACAAACCTGCCCCCACTTCCTCACCGCCTCGGCCGTATCTAGACCCTCAGCTAGTTCGTGATTGTCCCTCTTGCGTTGTGGTGTGGACTAACATAGCGCAGACCAAGCTTCAATATTGGGCATAAATCAAAAACATCTGCGACAAGCACACTGCGACACACTGGGAGTATAACCAGCCCTTTAGCCTAGGAGCTCCGCTGGTTGCCACTGGCCTCTCAACATCAGAACTTGTTAGAATTTTTTAAATTACGCATGAAATCAGTAAATGCGCCATATAGCGAAGGTTAATAAGTATATTGTTCTCACCTAAAATGATCTTAAAACTGATTTTCGTAGAACAGCAGCAGATAAGTGAACTTTTGATTGAATGTTCTAAACTTTGTGCCCCCCTGGAAGTTGCTGCTGCCGTAGTGCATACCGATGTAGCTGTAAGTCTGGAGAATGCATAAATCTGCTTTGATCGATAATTGTAAAGCAGGCATCCACAAAGTCGGCCCTCGAGGACCGACTTTGGGGATGCCTGTCGTAAAGAGTTAGGGGGCAAGAACAACATCCGGAGACTTGGTCCGTTCTCTGTCTTGTGTTCTTGTGAATTGGAACAGTATTGTGCTGAGGAGGATGACGTTTCAGGAGCAAACGAGAACAGACAAGTACACATTGAAATGCGGCCAATGTCTTTCCTGTTGTCCAAGTGTTAAAGTAACTGGCAGAAGAAGCTTTCGCACGTCTGCCATGTTTTTCTGCACAGAATTGTCACAGGTAACGAACTTTTTTAGTTGCTGGTGCATCGCGGGGCTGCTGTGGAGATAAGATGCTTTTCTTGCAAGCAGTTCTGACTTTAGCAATAGTTTCTAAACCAGTTAAAGCTGGATGGAACGTAAAATCCTGTTTAATATTTTCATAACCAATCCACTTTTGACAGTTCTAAATTGTCACTATAGTTCAATCACACATTCTAGGTTTTCTCTTAATTTCTTTAACCACGGTGGTGGGCCAACTACAGTAAGTAACTTCTGTAAAAATTTTGTTAAAATCCAACGTATGTTTGCCTTAGTTTAATGCCTAAGCATTAAGAGGCTAATAAGTGATTCAAGCTGTTTGGTAATCAGCTCATTATTTTAGTGCAACAGTTTAAGATATATCCCGCTTTGTAGTCTAGGGAGGAATATGGGCAGCTTTGCAAATGCATTATACATTTGCTGTGGGAAGTTCTCCCTTCGCTCTGACTACATGAAAAGTCATTAAATTTGTCTCTAGTTGCTTTCAAAAAAAAGGAAATTATCCGAAAAGTCACCAAATGTAGCGACAAAGTTGCTAATTTGCTAACACTGGGCTTTTTGTCTCAAGTTTTTCCTTCACTACTTAAGACAGTAGCCTAATTTTGCACTGTAGCTACCGTTTAGCTACATAGGCTAACCAGCTAACAGGACTGACAGGAACCCGTGGTGTTGGTTTTTCAAAATAAAGTACATTTTAACATTTCATTATATTTTGATTCATATAAAACTCTGATTATGACATTACTTTAAGATCCATGCTATTATTTATATTTATTCTGAAAGTGTGGAGGTTTTTAATTGGCTGTGGCAATTAACATTCTCTATTGAATACAAGACAGCCACTTCAAACCAAAATAGTTGGTGCAAAAAGTAACATTTGCTATTTAAAAAGCTATTTAATACAGCTTCACTATATTGCTTATAAAGGGCTAAAATCCATCAGCCAGAACCAAGAGGGTTGACATGCAAAATAAAGGAGAACAATGATAAGAGCGGGACACAGGAGTAAACGGGACTGCTGCCAGATAAACGAAAGAAGAGAAGAGGGATGGTGACAGGACAAAAACGTTGGGGTCAGATGAAAGAAAAGTGCCACGTAAAAATATGACTTTACAGGATGAAAAGCTGCCATCATCGCCCACCCCCCTCTACCCCAACAGACACAATGACTCTTCCATTCAAAGGGAGCCACCACCTGTAATCTGCTCCCTTGTTTTAAGTCATCTGGGTTGCCTGAGGCTGGGGGGGAAACCTTCTGATTTACAGTTGGGAGCCCTAAAAAGGCTCTTTCAAACTGAAATGACAAGTTAATCTGCTAGAGTTCATAAGGTCACATGCATAATGACAGGTCAGCTCTAAACTCTTCATCTCCAATCAGGATCTCATTTTGGGGGGGATTTATTTTTTTTTTTTTTCCTGTTTTAATTCTTGCAAGGAAAATACATGCACAATAGCCCCCTTTTTTTTTTTCTTTAGTAATGACTTGTTTATTGCACAAATCGGTGCATACCTTTAGGTGGATGCTGCAGCTTGTGCAGCTTCTCGTTGGCGCACACCCCCCGGCCGTGCAGGAGCGCGTGGAGCGGCTTCTCCTCCCCGCTCTTGGGCAGACAACGGAGGCCACGCATGCATGGCCCCGTGTACACCCCGCAGGTCTGGCCCTCCTCCAGCGCGCACGTCAGGCAGCAGCCGCAGCCGGGCTCCTTCACCAGCTGGCAGCCCATAGGCACCGGGGGACACATGGACAGGGCCTTCTGGTCGCACGGCTCACACGGCACGAAAGACGCCTCGCATCCGGGGATGCTCAGTAAAGGGACCGCCAGAAGGAAGACTCCCAACAGCATTGTGCGCTACTCCTCTAATAAAAAATAAATAAATAACAACTGGAGCCGTTTGAGCGTAAAGGAATATCAAATGAGAGTTGAAAGAAATCGCTTTTTAGTTGTTGCTGTTGCAGGTTTCAGTCCAAATATCAGCGGTGAATCCACAGGTGCACCCGATGCGTAAAACCAACAATCATGCAATAATAAAAATAATGAAAAAAAATATATATTGTAAATAAAACTATCCAGATATGAGATATGTGTTCCTGGAGTGATGCTCAGCGTCGTTTGTCTCCAAAACCTGAGAAGCGCACTGACTCCCTGCGCTGCTGCTGTATCTGCAGGTTGTTTCACCCGCACACGGACTGAGAGCAGAATGTGTAATCTGTGGCTTTGAGCTTGCCTTTTTTTTTTTTTTTTTTTTCAAAAAAGAAACTGCCTCAGGCGAAGTCTATAAAGATGGGCTTGTCAAACAACGTTTGGAGAGGGGGGAGGCGCACTTGTCAACTCTTGAGCGCTGCGATGCTGATTTCTCAGGGCGGGGGTTGGCAGGCATCCAGATCTAAGCCCATGTTCCTGAAGGCAACTTATCTCTGCATCTGCAAGGTTTGCTGTTTAGTTGGCTTCACGTTCAGCTAGGATTATGAGAAAGATCAACTGAGCACACAAAAAGAAAGGACATTTCTTTTTGGTTTATTTGTTCCTTGTCAATATATATTCATAAAAAAGATAACAGCTGAAAAGCCTTTTTTTGTTTTTTCTGACAGCCTTGGTATATGGCTAATCCACAATCTGTTTAGCCTACTATAAAAACTGTGGTGAATTTTGTTTCTTTTTTATACCTTGTGAAGGTTGGATGGTGTCGGGAAGCTTCACCTTACTACATAAATTAAGCTTTTTATCATTGTAGACAAAGAGATATCAAGATGTGACTCTGCATCTAATGGCAATCACCCTATAAGATATAAGACTCAAGGTCTGCTTGCAGAATTGGGACCCATTTACACCACCCTTTTGAAACCGTAACGGGATCTGTCCGAGCACAATAATTGATATAACATCTAAGGTTAAATGGCATGCAAAACTGAACTGGACTATGCCAGACACAACCGAACCCTGCCAAAAACTGGTACTAGTTCATCAGTAGGTCTTGGCGCGGTCAGAGGTGTCAAGTAACAAAGTACAAATACTTCATTACTGTACTTAAGTACACTTTTTAGTTATCTATACTTTACTCTATTACTTATTTTTCTTCCTACTTCTTACTTCTACTCATTACATTTTTACATAAGTATCTGTACTATCTATTCCTTATGTTCTTAAAACAAACGTTACTCGTTACTCTTGGCTTCGGTTTAATGTTCGGTTTAATATTTATGTCACATTATGTGCGCCATCCGATGCAGATCATCCAGACCATCCACATCTAGTCAAAACTAGTGTAATTGGATGACTCTTAAAATGCAAACACTCATTGGTTAGCTATTCGTCGCATTTGTCCTGACGCCAAAGGAAATAATCAGAAGGAAGCAGGTGTTCTTCAAACTGTAAACGTGAATTGTCTATGCCATGCTACAATGTCAGATTCAGAAAAAGATGTTGAAATGTCTGAAATGTCGGACATAGGCGAGAGCGTATCAGGAGACGGAGACCAACAACACCTCCCTTATCTTTGGCCCTATCTAAAAGAACTTTCCGAGTTTTTAGGGCACATACTTTTTCACTTTTACTGAGTAAAGAGGTCAAGTAGATACTTTAACTTTACCAGAGTGTTTTTAAACTACACCATCTATATTTCTACTTAAGTAACAACTGTGTGTACTTTTGACACCACTGGTGTTAGTTCTGGCTCAGTTCTCAGATAACAAAGAACGCATGAGCAGACTGTGTCGACTCCTTACAGTCAGCCTCTGTAATCATGAAATTTCAGACATTCATAAAAATACTAGCTTCCCTACCGTGTCACATGATTTTAATTGATGATTCTGCGTAGCAGTGTGATGAACCTCAACGTCTGTCATTTTTTTCTTATAAATATCACAGTTATAACCAAACTTCCTTAATGTTGCAGGTGCCGTCATGTTGATTTTCTTGTTTAGCTCTAGAGAGCAGTAGTACCGTAGATTGTCACTTGGAGGCGAGGAACAGTGCTAGCATGGTGTGCAAATGGTCGCAAAGAACCGAGCTCGGCACAAATTGGTTTTGAGAGGGTAGTGTAAATTAGTCTTATGCACTTGGTTCTCGATAGCCAAAAAGGAACATGTTATAAACTAGAAGCATCTGTTCTTTTAAAAGTGTACAAAATGACTTAAACTATAGAATAAATGAGAGTAGTAAGGAAATACAAAGATTCATCCTTTTAAAGCCTTTATGATGCCAAAGTGGCCAGGTGTAAAAATGAGTTTTACTCCCTTGCTCCAAGCAGAAAGTGCTTTCCCCAACAGAGTAAGGTTTATTAAAGTATACCTCCTGCCACAATCTACAGCATGTGATGGGTCATTAACAGCTAAGTGCAAAACAGCCAGGAAGAGGATTGGTTCCTCCAAGTCTGAGGTTGTGGTTCTGGACTGAAAGGAGGTGGCTTCAGATAAGAGGAGAGTTCCAGTTTAAACATGAAGGAAGGATGGAGCGGGCGATAGATAGAGGAATCTGTGTAGCTATCATCATAATGTGGATACTGCATGCAACTATTTTTGTGACAATAGCTGAGCCCAAAGAGACAAAGCTCTCGATAAACCAGTTGGTCTCTGTTCCTACCCTGATGGTCATGAAATCTGGACCATGACCAAAACATAAAATCCTGGAAACAAGCAGCTGAAATAAACTTTTTCTGCAGGTTGATATGACACTACTGTATAAATAGGGTGAGGAGCTCAATCATCTGGGAGAGGCTTTGAGGAGTGCTGCTTATCCACCACAGCTCAGGAAGGCTCAGACATCTGCTTATATGCTCCCAGGTGATGGCCTAGGACACTCTAGAGTGACTTTGTTTCAGCCGGCCTGGGAGCACTTCAACTTCCCTCCAATCCCACTGGGGGCGGTGTCTGGCGAGAGGGAAGTATGTACGTCTCTGTTCAGCCTGCTGCCCCCATGACACAGTCCCGGATAGACACTATAAGTGCCTATAAGTGCCTCAGCCTCAATGCTAACTCAAGGCTAACATTGGGGCTAGCCCACCTGGCCATTGGCTGGTAAACATTACAGAACAGGATCAGGCAAGTACGCCACTTAATGATCAGGAAGAGTTCAACTTTAGCTGTTACCTCTAATGTGGACAATGGGTGAAGTAAAGAAAACCCTTCAGAAGTTTATGGATGGCTTTTTAAAAAGCCATGCAGAGGTTGTCGCTTTTATTCTAGGCAGCCTTTTGAAAAGCGTCCCACAATTTAGTCCTTAGAAGGACTCTTAAACCATTCACCATCCATTCCCCTAGACCTCACCCTACCTCTGTTGTTTGGTTGATGCATCCCACAAAGAGGGATACCAGATGGAAGAACCACTGAAAGCGACTGCAAATCCTGGGATCCACTGTCTAAAGGGCTCTAAGTGAGCTTCTCGCAGATATTTTTGATTTATGCACAATATTAAAGCAAGGGTTGCCAACCATCCCTTGAAAAACTGAATCGTTCTGTATTTAGAAATGGAAGTACCTGCCCTTATTTACTGGAAAAGGAACGCACTTTGTCCAATATTACTGTGAGAGTAAAAAAAGTGATCAGTAAAAAGCTAAAACATAGGTAAACTTTTTCCCTGGCCCTATAATTGTGACCAATGAGATGACAACATATATGTAACGATCCAGAATACCCTCATCCCATTGGTCGAGCCAAGTGTTGCTCACGGAGAAGATAGCGAGAGACAACAGAGCAGTATGGGGGACAAGGGGAGGAATTTAAATGCTGATGCTGCAGGAAAAGGAATCCTGGCAGTCCAAAGGAACAGCAGAAAGGTTTCACCATGGAGGTTCTTCAAGCAGCTGATGTTCCCAACATCTAAGCTGCTGTGTGCTTTGTCCTCAGCATCCCATCTTTCACTGGTTTTGTGGAGAGGATTTTCTCCTTAATGAAGAACAAATGGACTGATGTGCGGAACAAATGTTCCACTGAATTAATTAAAGCTGAGCTCATTGTCAGCCCTAATTATGAACTGTCTTGCTCACAGTTTTTTACTCCGCAGCACTCAAAGACAAACAACTCCTCACTGCTGTAAGAGCTCAGAGGAAATACAAGTGGAAAAACTAGGCTATCGCCACATAATGTGGCATTGAGCTAATACATTTTTTCTTTCTGTTTTACAATTGTAGTCTACAGTTATTGCATTTAAGGCACAAATATGTTTACAAGTTTGCACAAGTTGGCTGTTGCACCAAAAATATGCACTGTTTATTTATTGTTTTATATTCATTTTTACAGTTCGAAGTTGGACAGGCTTATTTTATACAGCAAAGTTTGTTATTTTGTATTAAAGTGAATTGCTGGATATTTGGAGCTGCTGACCACCTCTACGGCTGAGCTGTTGATTAGCAGTGGAGTAGGCTGGCTCTTCCTGAAGATGACGATGATCTCCTTTGTCTTCTCCACATTCAGGATCAGGCTGTTATCTCTACACCAGCCCACCAGCTGCTCCACCTCCTCTCTGTAGTCCTGGTCATTGTTGTCCCTGATGAGGCCCACCAGCGTCTCCTCACCTGCAAACCTCACGCAGTGATTGGTGGTGAACCGGGGGACGCAGTCTTGTGTCATCAGAATGAACAGCAGGGGGCTCAGGATGCAGCCCTGAGGGGAGCCTGTGCTTAGGATAATGACATCAGAGGTGTTTTGTCTGACCCGGACTGATTGTTGGTGAGAAAGTCTAGCAGCCAATTTCAAATGGGTGTACTGAAGCCCAGATGTTCCTGTTTTCCCATCAGATGCTTTGGGATGATGGTGTTGAAAGCTGAACTGAACAGCTCCGATACACAGAAAATACAGAAATGATTTTAAATAAAATACCAAAATATCAAAGAATTGGGACTACATACTGTTTTTTTTTTTGTTGGGAGAATTTGTTGGGAGAAGGACATTTAAGTAAAGAAATAAATAATTATCTAAGGTTTTCATCACTCTTTATTGTTATCCTTCATAGTTTCATTTCCATTTTCCTCGATTTGAAAGCCACTCTTATAGGAAAAAGAACAGAACAAACCTTATGAAACTGAGCAAAATGTCCAGGGTTGTACATTCAGAGCATTCTATGTTTCAATAATGTTTTTTTTTTTTTTTTTAGAAAAACATGGTTATACAAAGTATATATGAAAAACAGAACAGTACATTATTTTACTCTAATGACTATATTGAGTTTCAGCAACCCATTTCTTGTCAAAATGCAGATCTTG